ACTGGGATGGAGGTGGGGCAGGCGTAGCACCCCCATTGGCCCAGAGAGATGAAGTGACTTGCCCAGGGTTGCACGGAGTGACAAGGACAGGCTTAAGATTCAGACATCTGAGTCTGGGCTCCTTCTCTGTGTGGCCCTCCTCCCGTGTACCTGCCGCACTATGCACCCCCCTCCCTGAAGCTCAGTTCTTTGGGGGAGTCCTGAGTCCTACTTGGGCCAGCCATGCTGACTCGACATTTGATGCCTTTCCTGTAGGTAACTATGTCCATCTCTTGGCCAACATTGATGGTATTCTGGTGACCAGGGCATACACACCCGTGTCCAGTGATGATGATCAAGGCTTTGTGGACTTAATTATAAAGGTGAATGATGCCCCCCTTGTCCAGCTGTCTCACCCTCACAAGCCTATTAAGAATGGTGGGGTGGAGAAGGGACACGTGCCCCGGCCATGGCATTTAGCAGTGCAGCTGCTGACCTGGTGAAATCTTCAGGGGTAGCTTAGAACAACTGTGAGTGCAGAGGATTTTCTACGCATGGTTTCTAATGGCAGAGCTTTGTGTGGTTGTGGCCTAAGGTCTGAGGCTGCGAAAGCCACGCTGCCTTATTTTTCAGATCTACTTCAAAAATGTACACCCTAATTATCCAGACGGAGGGAAGATGACACAGTACTTGGACAACATGAAAATCGGGGACACCATTCTTTTCCGAGGGCCAACTGGGCGCCTGTTCTATCACGGGCCAGGTACTGGGGGTTCATACTGGGCCTCCTGTCGGGAGGAAGAAGATCTCCTGCAGTGGTTCCATTGTTCTAGAAAACTCCTCAGATGTGAGGCACGTGGTCTTGCCCTGAAAGTTGCCACACATTTATTCACATACTCATTTCACAAGATCGTTACACCACTGAGGTAGGGGCGTGACTTGGTGTTTCATCATCACCTGATTCATAACATGTAACCCACTAGTGCTGAAAATGGACGTATGGAGTCCGGCTCCTTCCCTCACTCACACGTTCATCCCTCGCTCGCTGCCGTGGGCGGCAGTGCTCTGTGAGGCTCCCTAGTCCCTTCGGCATGACCACCCTCCTCCTGCAGAAGGAAAGATCTGGTGATCTCCGCAGATCTTTTATTTGCACCAGGGCTGGCCGAGGAGGTCACCCTGGCTGGCTCCTCTGGCTTAAAATGGCGCAGCCACTTCTTTAGGCAGACCGGCCTCCTGGACGTCCTGAGGAAAGTCAGTGACCTTTTGCAGGCTCTCAGGCAGGAACTCCAGGAGTCAGACGTGTCCTCTGTGCTTTCAGGGAAGTTTTCAGTCAAGGAGTACAAAACAAGTAAGCCTGAAGGAAAACTGGCCAGTCACCTGGGGATGATCGCTGGGGGCACAGGTAAGTGGCTTCTGGGGGCTTCATCCAGAGGTGAGCCCTCCCTCAGGCCTCTCTGACTTTGGAGTTGCTTTGTCCTACAAGGGGTGATGTTTGAGAGAGTCACTAGCCTGGCTGTTTTACATGGAATGCAGGGTCAATGGCAGGCCTTGAAACTGACCCTGTGTGCACTGCTCCCCTTCCCCAACACGGCGGCTGCCCAGGAGCCCTGGAGCCTCTAGAGTCAGGCTGGGGACATGGAAGCGGCTGGGGGCAGGCTGCACAGGCCCACATGTGGTCCCCCAAGGACTTCTGGATCCAGCCGAAGCCTGACTCCCATCTTTTGAAAATGAATGCCTGAAAGAAGAAAACAAACACGCAGGGAGACCTACAGCTTGCCAGGCACCATAATAAGCACCTTTAAAACTATCACATTCACTTGCCATTAATTCTGTTTTACAAGTGAGGACCCTGAAGAGCTCAGACTGGCGCTTGAGTCACCCCCATCAGGGAGTTAGTGAGGGCGCTGGGAGTGAAACCCAGTTCCCAAACCAGAGCTAGTGCTCCTTCCATCTTGCCATCTGAAAGTGAGAAAGGGCTTTTCATTTGTTGTTGCATTAGAAGGGAAAACCAAAATGAAGGGCTGTCCCCCGCTTTTGGTTTGGGGGGACAGACGTGAGAAAAGTAGAGCTAGGGTCAAGCTGCTGCAGAGCAGGGGGACCGGGCCTCGAGAGCGAGACCCGGCCTGCCCACATACTGTGTTCCAGGGATCACGCCCATGCTGCAGCTCATTCGCCACATCACCAAGAACCCCCAAGACAGGACCAGGATATCCCTCATCTTTGCCAACCAGGTCGGTTCCGCTGAGTCAGCCCTGAGCTCGCAGGGGTGGGGCGGGTGGAATGTTGGCTGAGCTGGGCTCTGCATTCACTCCTCCCCCGACCCGCTCCCTGAGCTCAGGCCGCCCGCGTGCCTGTGGCTGTGGGAGGGCTGGTGAGAAGCTGAGTCGGGCCTGTTGTGCCTTCTTTTTTGTTTTGTTAACTTTTCTGTCTCCCCAGTCAACCCGAAGCGCCATGCTTTCCTTCCTTCCTTTCTTAACACACGGTTCTGCCCATCTGAGTACAACATCATAGCAGCCCTCCAAAATGTGAATTTTCCAAAATGTGAATTTCGGAAAATACAGAACTATATAAATATTTTACTTATTTTTGTCCTTTTTCTCTACACACTATGTACTTACAATTACATACATATAGATGTGGGGTTTTTTAGTTAACATTACCATACAGGCATTTTCTTTTTATTAAAACTATGAATATGTCTGTCAGAGTCTGTATCAAGTTGCACCATAATTTACAAAATCTTCTACATTTGGATTGTTTTTGGTTATAAATGACAGTAGTGAATAATTGTGCCTAGACTTGATCATTGCAGATTATTTTCTTGAACAGAATCCCAGATGTGGAATTATCAGGACAAGGGTTATAAAAAGAGTTTTAAGACCCAGGTCTTCTGCGCAGCATCACTGAGCCTGTGGCAGGGTTCCTTCAGCTCTGGCTGCCTTTTCCCTGAATGAGGCCCCAGCCTCTGTTTCTCTCCTTTAGCTCGCCAGTGCTGAGTTATTTTACCTATATATAAGTATATATTTATAAATATTTACACACACACACATATTTAGTGCCTTAGCCCCTTGCACTCCCTGCAGAAGATCCTGGGCCCACACTAAGCTTGTGTCAGTTGGGTTTGCTGTGCATGGTGTCAGTGTGGATGTTGGAGGTGGGGCTGGAACCTCTGAGTGAAGCCACCTCACTGCTGCAGAGCCATGGCCTTCCAGCAGAGGGCAGTCACCCAGCTCCTCCACTCACGTTAGTTGCACAGGAGTGCAGGCAGAGCTCTCATCTGCCCCAGGAGTGTGCGGGCAGCACTCAAACGAGAGTAGAGGTAGCTTGGCCAGGAATGTGCCAACCTGTGAGCTCAGCCTGGGGAATAAGCAGGAAGTCTCTGGAGGGCCTTTGCTCATGCCGCTTTTTTTCTAGACAGAGGAAGACATCTTGATGAGAAAGGAGCTTGAAGAAGTTGCCAAAACTCACCCAGATCAGTTCGACCTGTGGTACACCCTGGACAGGCCTCCTGTTGGTACGGACCCCATTATCCCCACCATGGGTCAGTGCCAACCCTGACCCACCTCAGGGACTAGTCCCTGGGTGGGTGGGTTGGTTGGTTTGTAGGACTGAGCTTGAGGGTTGAGGACTTGGGCTCTGTCTCCCCATGGGAAAGATAGGAATTTGAAGGAGAGAGGATCGGGGATGACCTGCTCATAAAGGCGGTCAGAGGCAGGTATCCGATATCTCAGTGGCGCTCCACATTGCACTGCATGTCATGAGGGACACTGAGGCACTGGGCCACCCTGAACACCCTGCCCCCCCCCCTGCATTCCACACAGCATCCCACAGAGGCATCACATACACTCCATCCAATATGGCCACTGACCCCTCACCACTCACCTCACCCGGACAGCAGTCCTCACATGCTGAGCCGCAGTCAGCACCCACCCACAGCTGTGCACACCACACACTCTACAAGGCCGCCACACCCTTCAGGCTGCTTGTCCCATGCTGCACGAAACTGTGTCCACCTTGTCATACAGCTCACTGTCCAGCAGAGGGCGTCCCTCCACGGAGCCAGTCCACAAACCTCGACACACTGCCCTGCAGGGCTCAGGCTGGCCGCTTGATTCACACCACTCCCGGCACAGCGCACCTCACTGTCCTGCACCCCATCCTCGCCAGTGCTCACTGCGGGCAGACTCCAGCCAGGAGCCCCACACCCTGGGGCCTGGGGTAAAAACTGAACAGAGCTGCCTGGCTGCGCCCAGTGCTCTACTTTGCAGCTTTCTGCAGAGAACAGTAGTACAAACTTCTCAGTCTTCGCAGCTTCTCCTCCCTCTCCCTGGTTTTAGGAAGGGAGAGCAAGAGGCCTGGGGTCCGGGACTTGCCCTGGCACCTCCACAGCTTTTTTTCTGCTTAATCTCAGGCTGGAAGTATAGCTCAGGCTTCATTACTGCCGACATGATCCAGGAGCACCTCCCTGCTCCTGAGAAGTCCACGCTCATCCTGGTGTGTGGCCCGCCACCCCTGGTCCAGACCGCCGCTCACCCTAACCTGGAGAAACTGGGGTATACCAAGGACATGATTTTCACCTACTAACACCTTCTTTGCTCTTAGCAAACTTCCCCAATCCCTTACCTCTGTTTCAGAGAGAGTAGCATTGCCTCGTTCCAAAGGGCCTCCTCACATCTCCTTGGGCGTGTTGGTGCTCTCTTCAAGGTGGTCCTAAGAAGGGTTTATGGGGCTGGGGGCAAAATGACTTCTGGGGTCTTTTTGCTTGGGGAGGCCTGAAGGAACTCCATTTTAGTATCTTTCCCCATGGCCTAGTGAAATAAACTTCAGTGCAAAGTGGATAACCCATGAGGTGTGGCTCTGTGGGGGGACCCACTAGGCACCTGGAAGGCCTTGGCCTGCCCTACATGTGGATTGGCTTGTGTGTGTCGATGGGAGGTCAAAACTGGCGAAAGTGCCAGGGCAGAACTGACCTCACGCCCCTGCCCCCCCCCCCAGTGCTTTGTTTTTAAGCTCAGTTCTACTAGAAGGTTCAGCCCCCCCTGTGAGCTCTCTTCCTTCTACTGTGGGAGACCCCGAAACAGCAGTGGTGTTCAGAACACACGCATCAGGGCAGCAGGTGAATCAGCAGGGTGGGTGAGCCCCGGGAATCCCGGACTCCCTGCACTTTGCACAACAGATGGAGGTAAGAGGAGGTCTTTTTGCTAGCATCTTCTAAATGCCAGGCCCTATTTTGGAGTGGTAGGGTAGGGGTGGGTACACATAGAAGCTACCAAACTTGCAAGTAAATTTAGGTTCCAGAAGCTACTTCTTAAATCTTTCATGTCACAAGTGACCTCTCTTGCCATCTGCTGCTCACAGCCAGGAGGACGTGCTCCTGCTCTCGGTCACCTGAGAGGGGGCAGCAACCCTTCTGCACTTAATTATGTATAATCCTCATAACAAGCCATACAGTCTGTGGAGATTCTGTTCTAGTTCTAGAGGAGGAGGAAACTGAGCCTCAGAGACAAAGTTATTGTCCCCAGGTCATTCAGCCAGCAGGTGGCAGAGCTGGGCTGCAAACCTGGGTCTGTTTAGTTCCAAGTCACTCCTTCCCTTTTCACAAAAACTAGCGTAGCAGCAGCCTTGCTAAACCTTGGTGTCGCTGGATTTCTTATTCAGCACATCCAGGGTAAGGGACAGGGAGGAGGGCCCTCTAGAGAACAGGGTGGCCCCCCCCCAGGGCTGGTGGGAGTGGGGTGCTCGGAGGCAGCCCATCTCTACACTTGCATGTGTTCGGCGCATCCTTCCGGAATCCTCTACCCAGAGAAAGGTTCTCTGCTGGGCTCCGCGTGATGAGTAAGGTCCTGCCCTCGGATATTTTTCTTAAACAAATATCAGTGTGCTCATCTCCTGCTTTAAACCTCTTGTTTAAACCACTGGTCCCCTCCTGGCCACCCTGGGTCTCCAGGGTACATTCCAGGGCCCTGGTCTCTAAGGCCTTTCCTGGTCTGGCTCCAGGTCATGGCATCAGATTTGCCTTCCCTGGGCCTCCCACTCTGAGCCCACTCCCGGCGTCAGCTGTTCTCAGGCAGAGGAGATCTTGCCATGCCCCCATCCCGGGGAATATCTGGCCGAGTCTGGAGTCATTCTGGGTTGTCACTGCTAAAGAAGAGGTGCTTTTGGCGTCCAGAGGGAGAGACCCGGGCTCCTGCCGGACGTCCCGCAGCACGTGGGACAAGCCCCCGGCAACTACGGGGTGGAGTCTGGGAAACTCCGTTCTCCTCACAGCGGCTTCCTGGGATGTGCTGAGATCTTTCAAGACCACCTGGCACGCCTTTCCCCTCTGGCATGGTTGGGGAACCTGCTTCATCTTTCAAAATTCAAATATCACCTCTGCCTTGGATCCTTTTTGCCCCCTGCCCACCCAGTCCAGTCCTCCAGGAAAAATGACAACTTGCTGTTTGAGGCTATAGAGACTTCTACGGGAACATCTGTGACATTTGGAACACTCTTATCCCAAACAGATCTGAGTCCCCAGCAGACCATCAGCGCCCTTAGGCAAGCACCTCTGTGGTCATGCCTTACCCCCAGCCCTCCTTGGTCTGGCACGGATGGTACTAACCTGACGTAGGAAGGAGTGGGTGGAGGGGAACTGAGCAGCATGGATCTCCTGAGCCAGGCGAGCCCCAGGAGCCCACCCACAGCACGTGCTTGGTGAGTTGTGTTGAGGGTGGGTGTGGCATGGGAGAAAGATGACACATTACTTCAAGGTGAGCTAGTGCCTGCTCGGACTCAAGGGACACAGGGACCTCCAACGGAAATGCCGGTGCAGGCTTCCTGGAAGAGGCTGCGTCCTCCCGGGCTCGGTAGGCAGCATTCGGCCCTGTGAGCAGGACTAGGGGAAAAGTACATCCCGCGGGGAGGGAAAGACCCTCGTGCAGGCTCCAGCAGGGCTTCCCGAAGGCTGAAGATTCAAAAGGCCTGGGTGCTTGCTGATGAAGGCTTTGAACTCTGATCGGTGGCCAATTCTGGAACCAAGGAGTTCTTAGCCAGAACGGTTATACGAGTAAAACAGTGCTTTGGGAAGGTCACTCGGGCTGGGGTAGAGAAAGTCTGGAGGGAACCAACTGGAAAGGTAAGGGGCCAAGCAGGAGACCAGCTGTGAAAATCAGGAGGAGAGACGGGACCTGAGCCAGAGCCATCACAGGAGGAGAAGGTAGGGGAGCCAGTCACTCAGGGGCAAGGTGGGCTGGCAGGCATGTTAGGGGCACAGGCATCTCTCCTCAGGTAGGAGACACCTGAGGTTTACAGGCTTCTCTGGAAGATGGAAAGTTGTTGCAGAAACATGGATTTGAGATTCCCAAGGGCCTTCCACTGGGGGGAGCTGTTTGATCAGGCAATTGTGTCTGAGGCTGACAGGGAAGGGCTGGAGGCTGTGCTGGTCAGCTAGGGCAAGGGCGGGGTGAGGGCAGGGGTTGGGGCCAGGCCCGTGAGTCTGTGTGAGTCGGAGACGTCTCTGCTAGAGGCTGGGAGGCCCAGCAGCACAGAGAACCTGAGACACGCTTGCTCTGCACACCGAGGGTAGACTGAGGGCAGCCAGGGCTGGGGAGGGAGTCTCATTGCTCCTTTCCTGTTCTCATCCCAAATACCCTCATGTGGACCAGATCCCCGAGTGGGAACACATGCTTCTGTCTGGAAGCAGCCCAGAGAGGGGGCTCCTATTATCACTTCACCCAGCTCAGTCTCTACAGAATATTCAGAACTTTTTTTCCAGCAGAGCTTTTATGAACTCACAGACCTTCCCCTTTGGTGTAAGAACCTCCCAGCTGTCACCAGGAGCAGCATGAGCCATTGAGTCTGAGCTGACATCTCGCTGCCCTCGTGCACAAGTGGTCTGCAGTCAGGTATAAAAGTACAAAAGGTATAAAAGCTGTGGTGAGGAGCACAGCTCAGCTGAAAACACAGGGGCGCTGGGGCCACCTCCCGGACATCAGCACACACGTCCGAGGTGCCCCGCCTGCCTCAGTCTGGGCTGCGAAGTGGCAGTGTGCCAGCTCCCCAGTGAAGCAGAGCTCGGGGCCCCCACACGTGCCTCTCTGGGCGCTCAGCCATGAAGAAGTCATCTCCAGTCCTCAGAGTTGGGAGCAGCCAGGCTAGAGTCGTTCAGCATCTGGTCCTGGCTCAGCATGGTCTGAAAGGACACAGCCGAAGGCGCAGTTGAACAGGGCCTGGGTCAAGGCCACCCTGCAGCAGCTCCACGGGAAGCAGCAGGCACTGAGTGTGGTCCCATCTGATACCAGCACCCTGTGAGTTCGTGGTGTCCCAGGGATTCTGCGTGTTGGGTCAGCGTAGACAGCACTCTCAAGGTAATAAATTGCTCACACCTTAGAGGCAAAGCTGCCATTTCAAGGCCACCAGAAATCTATTAGAGGTGATAAGGGCAGAGCTGCGTGGATTCATTTATGCGCGTGAGCCAAGAAAAAAATGGAATAAAAATGATCCCACTTGGATTCCGGGAGATGCCCTCCTCCCGCTATGTCCTTGAATACAGCCTTCTCAACGTGTCTCAATAGATGGGCAAAGGACGGTGACAGTGGCCTCAGCCGGACAGATGCTGCAGCCAGTGGGCTTAATGATGCAGTAGATCGGAAACTAATGGGCCCTGGAAAGCACGGGGCTGCAAAACTGTGAACTCTCCCTGTGGCTGGCCTTTTCCTGCCAGCTCTAGTCTGCCCATGAACCTCACAAGGAGGGTATCTTTAGCCCTGCTTCACAGATGACTAAGCTGGGGCTCGGAGAGAGAATGACTTGCCCAAGGTCCCAGAGCAGGGGCTTGAACCAGGCTGGCCTGGCTCCTGGGCTTTCCCTCTCCCCGAGACCATGCTGCCTCCACCTGGCACAGTTTGTGCCCATCAGGCACACCCGGATGTGCTCACATGACTTGATATCCTTGATGTCACAGGCATGACAGGAAATATGTGCATCTCATAGGCGTAGAGGGCAGAAGAGGGTCCACCAGGCCAGGGGGAAGGCCTGGGCCCCAGGCCGACTAGGCAGGTGACCCAGAGCTGAGCATCTCGGTTTCCTCCAGCTCTGAGACTGGGAGGAAGACCTGAGGCCTAGCGCACGTGAGCTGGTTTTTGCTCACGGTCCATAACCGTTCCCGGTGCCCTGGACAGCTCAAGGCCCAGCAGCAGGCCAGTGGAGAAGGCGTCTGTACCACTTACGGCCTCGGGGCTGGCTCAGGCTCGGGCCCCAGCACCCACCACCATTTTCTGTCCTCTCCTAGCAGAGGTGTTGATGACACAGGCTCTGCAGTAGGGACAGGGCTGTCCCAGGCCTTGTACACCACCTCACCAAACTCACGGGGCCTCCCAGCACCTGCGGTGGAGAGAGGGTCAGGGTCCTACCGTGAGGCGGTGAATGTCTTGGGAGAGGAGCCCTATCTGCGTCACAGTGCCTTCCGAAGGTACCATCTGTAAAATGGGTGGCAGCTCGGTCAGTGCGCCTGGGCTCCACGCACGGTTCACAGGGACGGCATGCGAGTCCCGCCCCACTCAGGCACGCCCCCTAGAGGTGCAGACGAGGAGCGGGCCAGGCCCCGAGAGTGACAGGTGGGCAGAGTGCATGCCGCCTGTCCCCAGGGAAAAGCAGGGCCTCCAGTACCCACACTGCCATGCACGTGCTCTCCTGGGTCCCCACCCTGCCGCCAGCACAGGGTACAGGCAGGTCCTGTCAGAAATGGCCTTTCCCATGTGTTCGACGCTCTATTTCCAGAAGCCAAGACGAAGGACTTCAGGATGCTGAAACCACTGACAATTTCTGGCACCAACAGGTCCCCAGACACTGGTGCCCAGTCTAAGCCCAGGTGGGGGTCCTTAGGGAGCTGCTGATGGAGCTTCTCCACTAACAGGATATCCCTCCCCTCCCTTCACCGTCAGGTAAGGCTGGCCCGCTCCTTCTCCCTAAAACTTTTGGGCATTGTAAATCTGGAAGCATCTTCTGAGGGCATCGCATATAACCAACCCCTCATTTTACAGGTGGAAAATGGGGGCCCAAAAAAGCATAGAGGCCTTGCTTGAGGCTGCACAGAGAATTAGTGACGTAAGTCCATGCAGAGTTTGAAAACAGGCGCATGCAGAGATACACCCTCAGTGGGATGTGATAAGAAGTAAGGGACAGGGCCTGCCCTATGTGGCTCTCCAACACGCCCAGGTGCCAGCCTTGAGGAGCACCTGCCTTACAGGGGCCCCGGCACCGGTGTCAAACACCGGCCATGCTAGCGGGCGAGCTTGTCCATCTCTCACTGGCAAGACTTCAGGAAAGGCTAGAGGCCATGGCCTGAAGTGACAGGCAGTTTAAGAAGCAAATCTGAGCATTGGCTCCATCTGGGAAAGAATCAGAGTGCCTTCAGTGGGGTCACAAGGCCCCAGGCTTCCAGACAGTCCCGATGAGGCTGTTATGCTTTGCAGATGAGGCCCTAGGGGACTCAGTGGAGCCAAGAGCTGCCTCGGGGCAAACTGGAATCTGGAGAGCAAGAGCCCAGACTAGCCAGGCGCGTTGCTCACGCAGTCCTTGGCCAGACGAACCCCGTCTGGAAGACACATTATCAGCTAGTCAGCCTCTAAATCAGGAGGGCAGGTCTGCTGCAGCGATGCCAACGCAGACAGACCAACCTCCACAAAGGTTACAGGCTCAGCTAGGTCCACAGTGGAAGCTGGAAAAACACATAAAAGGACAGACGGTCCTTCCAGCAAGGCCGCCACCTTGTCTCCCCACCACCCCCGCGCTAGGCGGCTCATGCCACTGAGACGGAAACCAACTTTGAGGGTTGCGTGACACATGTGGCTGACGGTCGGGACGTGCATGGGACACAAGGGAGGTGGAGCCTGAAGCCACAGGACCTCCTCTGGGGCACATGGGCTGGGCGGCCTTCCTTGCCCCACCCCCCACATCCACCACTCTCGGCAGACCCTGTGTGCACCCGCTGAGGACCCGGCTGGTGCTGCTGGCTCTCAGGCCACGCAGGGAGCAGGATGCTGTCTCCAGATGTGCTCAGCTCTCCTCCCCCAGCAAGATTGTGCTGTGCTGTTTGCTTCCTACATAAATACTGTTTCTTTATTACTAGAAGGAAGTGACCCCCTGCGTAGGAAGGCACAACACAGTTACATTGTCACTGCGGCAGAAAACCCTGCTGCTGTCCCTGTGATCTGAGCCAAGACTCCACGGCCCGAGGCCTAAGGCACTTGAGACTGGCCCTCAGCTGGAGCACAGTGCGGGGCCCAAGAGCCGGGCCTCTGGGGGTTGTCCACAGTCTCTGGACCTGCGTCTGGACTCACACGTCCCACTGGTGCTGAAGACAGGAATCAAGAACCACTAAACACGTACAAGCATCTTTGAGGGTCTCTCCTCCCAAGTCCACCTTTGGCAGCAGTTCCAAAAGTCTGGCCCCTTAGCAAAGGCGCAACTCCATGCCCTGGCCACCCTCAGGGTTCGGAGAGACCAGCCCGAGGGTGCACGGTGGCCGGACTGTCCTCTGAGTCATGCACGTGTGCAGGGGATGAGATGCAGTTACAGTGTGACACACACGGTGTTACTGTGCGTTCTCAGGGTGCACGGACAGGACAGGTGACAAGCATCAGCTAATCTGTCCCACCTGGTCCAGCCCATCCACTTCAGGCACATCGAGCGGGCTGAGGCCCTGGTAGCCGCCACAGACCCTGTTGGGGATGCTGTCGCTGGGCTCCATCGGGCAAATGTAGTCTGTCGATTCATCGAACTTCTTTTTTCTCATGTTTCCAAAATGTGAAAATCCCAGTTTCCTTGGCTAAAACACAGCAAATGCAAGATTATGAGACGGTTACCAAGCTGACGTGCAGGTGTGACTGACAATACAATGCACGGCAGGCCTCTGAGGGAAGGAGGCAGGCCAGATGCTTCCAGAAAAACTCAACAAAATAGAGCTCCTGGAAGCAGTTTCCGTGCTGGGGAAAGACCAGCAGACGTGTAATCCTGACCATGGAGAGCTGCTCTTCCAGGCCCCGTTCCTGAAACTCAGGCCCTGCTGGCCCAGTGGTGATGCTGGCACTTCCCAGAGGGGTGGGGTGTGGCCCGGAGGGCCCGCTTCCCCGCAGCAGCTGGTGCCCCACAGGGAGCTCTCCCCTCCTTCCTTTGCTCTGTGGAGCCACGTGGGCCGGCCCGGGTGGCCCTTCTCCTTCCTCCAGCTCCTCCCAGCAGTGTCTCTGCCTGCCTCCCGACACACCTCCTGTCCAGCCCCCGTGGTGAAGGAGATCTGGGAAGGACATGGTCTGAGGACGATGTGGCTCAGGCAGGTCAGGCGGGCTTTGTGGCGTTCAGAGAGCCCCAGAGAACAGTGTTGGTGCTTGGACAACCTTGGGGCCTCTGGATAGCTATGTGCTGGCCACTCCACAGGGTGACCGGGGCCAGGTACTGAGAGGCACAACCCTGTGTTGGCAGGAAAGCTTTGACTGAGATACCCCACAGCACTGTGGCATCGAACTGAGCTTGACTGCCTGGAGCCCGGACTCGGGAAAATTCAGCAAGGCAGGCTTGGGGTAGACAAGCTCCTAGCCTCCTGAGAATAAGGGCTCCCTGCACATGATGTCTGTGTAAAGAAGCCTGCACTTTGTTCCTTGGATTCAAGAGTGGCAGGGAAGTGGCCTTGTGGAGACTGACAGACAGTGAGCCCGGAGCAGAAGCTGAGAGCGCCTGCTCGTCCAGGTGGCACCTGCTAGTTTGGCTCCGGGTGTTGGCTCAGCTGCTGTACCATGTGAGGGCCAGAAGGGAGGCCTCTGTGACCACTGCAGAAAGGGGCCAGCAACTCACCCGGACTTTGGCTGTGGTGGTCAGTGGGGTGTAAGCTGGTGAGGTCATTTTCTCTCGTTTTTCCTGTTCAGCCTCAGGACCAATCAGAGCACTGAATTTGGTAGTTAGGTGGCGTCTGAGAAGTGTCTTTTGTGGTGGGATATTGAGAAGCATAGCCAGGGTGTCCCCCGTGAAGCGGGGCTCCAGGATCTAAGGAGAAACCAGACAAACCACTCAGTGGTGACGGGGTGACCCCAGGTGATGACACTAGGAAATGGCCCTGTGGGCCTGGGAGTGACTCCAGGGCAGGGGCTGAAGCTCTCCCACTTGACCTGTGTCCCTGTCCCCCGTCTGCCGGGCACAGGGCCTGACTCAGCAGACTGACCTCATTTTCACAGACCAGCCAAGAGAACTGTGACCTCTTAGATAAGCTGCCTCCCAGGGTCCACTCTGGGTGACTGCCAAGCTACCCCTTCCTCCTTTCCCTGCTGGCTCTGCCACTTGACAGATTCAGTGGTGATAAGAACTGTATCACGGCAAGAGCAAGTTAGGTTTGGGTGGCCTCCCACTCACGTCCCAAGCCCCCATGTTCCCTTAGGAGGAGGTGGGGCTGAGGGCTGACTCTCGCGTAACCCCTCTGCCCTGGAATCTTCTGGGTCTGTGGCTAGAAGTCCTTCCAGAAGCTGTCTTGTTTCTATGGGGTATATTAATTCTCAACCACAGTTATCAAAAACACTTTGAGATTTTGATGTATACAAGGGTAAGACTTCAAATTATACAAGGATTTGAGATGAAATGTCAATTATTTTTACTAGGACTTCCGTGTAGCCCATAAGAAAGCAGTGTCTGAACAGCCCAGTTTCACTGAGTCGGGAGGCCAGTCCAGAGAGCCACTCACGATGAGACCTCCATGGACGCCACTCCCACGGAGGTTGGGTGCATACTCTGCCAGGTCCACGGATCGCAACCACTCCATCACCCTGTGGTTGGACCACTGCACAACTTCTGAAGGAGAAAGGTTACTCTGTGAGGGCAAGAAGAATGAAGCAATTAGGTCTGCTAGACCCCACCCCGGTGCTGTGTGGAGCGGCCCCCCCGGGACTGAGCCTGCCCGATGCCTCCCCAGGAGACGACTCGCACTCCTAAGTGGCTCAGGCAGCAACAGAAGAGGCCTGGGGGCCTTTCCATTTCCAAGACCTAGAGCTCTCGTGGAACCTTGCGGGGTTTTCTACACCGAGACGTCTATTTCAGAACCCGACTATTCCCTCAGTCTCTGGTTAACTTTGGAACCAACAGTCCCAAAAGGCATACGGTCATTCATTCAGCGGTTCAACACAGCTTCACAGTGGACTGCCAATTATGAGCTGAGTGTTTTGTAGACAGAGTCTCCCTGGTGTGGCCAAATATTTCAGGAGAGCACACATGAAGATACTTGTGCCTACGTGCCCTCAAGTGGCAGTGGGTCTTCAAAACGCCCAGCTTGTGCCTGATGTGTAGAAGACATTCAATGTGTATTTGTGGAATACAGAAAAAATAGGTGATGGAGGGTGGAGGTGGAAGTCCTCAGTCCCTCAGGAAGCTGAGTGAACCTGACAAAGTTAGCGTTAGCTCCCAAGAACACAGGAGACAGGGTATGGCCACAACCCTTTAGCTTCAGGGTCTACCAAGAACTCTGTGGTTCATAAAACATTAGCAGAGACTTGTCCAGCATTTCGGGTTGCTGTGTCTACCTATACTATTTTTTCTCTAGCAAAACCTGCTCATGGATCCCCTGTGCACCTGGGACCGGAGGTGAGTGAACTTCCTACCTACCAAGAGGGAGAGCTGTGCCAAACTGTCAGGTTCCTTACGGGCACCTTGTCTCCTCTCCTCTGCCACCTTTGATAGCCACTTCCCTGGTCTGTCTTTCCCTGCCCTCTTCTGTGCACCATTTCCTCATCTCCTTTAGCATGACGGCTTTGAAAGACTTGCTGCTACTGCCGTCTGGTAGCACGTGTCTCCCCAAGGGAAGGTGGGAACTTACAGTGGCTCCCGTGGCACACAGAGTACAGGCCATGGGGGACTTGGGGCGCCACAGAGCTCGAGGGAGGGAGAGCATCCCAAGCACTGTGGTCCGACCAGCAGCCGTTTTGCGGTGATGGTACTCTTGTTTGCTCACACCCAGCTGTACCAGGGTCCTGGCTCAGGGCTACCCAGACAGGACGGCCCTGCCCTCACCTCGTCAGCTGGCCGCCGGTGCAGGCAGTGGGGGTTGAACTTGTTGACATGCAGCACGTGGATGGCACATTTGATGCTGAGATGATGTAGTTGGCTGGTGACTTTTAAGAAGAGTAGATCATTCTGGGAGAGCAAGGTTTGGGTTAATGAACCAGAGTTTCCAAAGTGACAACACACCCCTGAGGTCCCTTCCCACATGAAACACAGACAGGTCATCCCCATCTCAGCAGGTGCACATGGGCACACCGACAGCTTTTCTTCCCTTTTGTACTTGGTGTGCACTTGGCCATTTGGAACTGCTTATATGACAACTGACGAGATTTTAAGACCTTAAGAATGTGAGGGAGGTGGTGGAATCAAGCTTAAAATAGCCACCACAGGGACACCTGAGCTTGGTGCTCACGGGAACAACCAAAATATTTAGAGGAAAAATCCTTACCACAGTTAAGTATTGCAGCATGCGCCCGTCAACTCTGGATTCGTGAAACTGGTCTTTGTACTGGGGTAAGCCGATATCATCAAGCCAACCTGCAGAGAAAAAAAACGGGGGCATCAGGGTTCAGGAGAATGGGAGAGTGTGGATGCCAAACCAAAGGGCCCACAAGTGATCATTTGGAGTTCCAGCTGCATTCCCCATAGGGCTGAGTAAGCCATCTGCCTTTCCCGAGGAGTCAGCCATCCTTCCTCACATTCTAGAGGAAGCTCTGTCTACCCCAAGGAGCTGCCAGAAACATTATACACATATGCCTGTCCTTACGTGTCACCCAAATGTGGTCTAGAAGTGCAGACTTCTCCTCCTGCTTTGTGTTGATGGCTTTTACTGCTAAAACCAGCTTCTTCCTATGAAGAGGGTGCTTAATTCCTAGCTCCTGAAATTGAAAGATGAAGACAGATGTGAAATTTCAGCGGGCAGCTTGGCCCTCCAAGGATGCCCTGTGGGTGTAAATATTTCACCTGAATAGCAGTGGAACCCTGCACAGTGTCAAGGGATCAATTTTCAGTGACAGAGGGAGTCTTGCCTCCACTCCCCTGTATGTGGATTGAGGGTGGAGGAGGAGTGGGGCAGGGGCGTGGGTGAAAAATGGGAATCTCCTGGTCTCAGGCTCAGCCCTTACCTTTTCCATGTCCTGAGGAGTAGCTGTCAGTAAAGTGTGGCCAGAAGTCACCCACTGCCTGGCAAAGATCACGTACTGAGCCAGGCCGAAGTCCTCCAGCCATGCACACACGCGCTCTGTGCTCCACTGGGCGAAGGGGGCATTGGCGTCACTGGGAAGCAGGAAAACACCCTGTCCTGTTAGTGGGAGGGACTGAGGCTCCATCCGAACCTAACTGGGCCCCACAAAAAGGGGAACTGTGTATTAACAAACAATCCCCACCATAGCTGGAAAAAACTCCATTACAGCACACTCGTTTGACGTAGCCTCACAGGGGTGCCAAAAGTTTTGGCGTCGCTGGGCCACACTGGAGGAAGAAGAGTTGTCTTGGAACACATTAAACACACAAACACTAATTAAAACTGACGAGCAAAAAAAAGGTTTTATGTACATTTACGATTTTGTGCTGGGCCGCATTCATAGCCCTCTTGCACTGTGTGCAGCCCACCAGCCACAGAGGGGGACACCCCTGCTAGAGTTTCCTGTGAAAACGCTGGTCCAAACTGCAAATCTGTGGGTGCTGAGAGCGTGGGGCAGGTGCATGGTCCTTGTGAGGCCATGTTTACATGTGCTGCTGTCCACGCACACGCGTGCACGTGTCACGAGCCGCATTAGGATGAAGAGCCACAATTGAACCATGCTTTCAACAGGGCTCAACACCATTTTTAGGAAAACACTCAGAAACTAGGAAATGGGGGTCAGTTCTCTAACATAAAAACAAACCTCCTCCAATCTACAACAGCTAATACCTTATTTATTAATAAAACACTAGGGGCATTCATATCAAAGCCTATTAAAAAGCCATGTTTTAAATTAGTATCAATAATACTAGTCTGAGAGTTGCAGCCAATATAAAAAGAGATAAAATAAAAACAAGTATAGCTATTAGAAAAGTAAAAAGAAAAGAAAACTTCCTTTCAGGTGATATGACTATTTACCTAGAAAACCGAGAACTCAGGAAGGCAGGCAGTTACAACACACACACCCAGGTCATATTCACAGCCGACACAAACCAACAATTTTCTATATGCCATCAATGCACTGCCACTGACATTTTTTTTGTTAAAATAATTTAAAAATCCCACTCTCAGCAACCTAAATGATAAGATGTCTGGGCGTTGTCCTGCATGACCGTCTGTGGGGCTGGCGGCATATGGTTAACTGTGACGCTGAGCTGAGCAACACAAACGGATGTGAATAAGTGGAGAGCTAGGTTGTGTTTCTAGACAGGATGACTGGGTGCTACAAAGCCATCAATTTTAGAGACATCCATTTTTCATGTAAACTGTGAATATTAATGGCACACTTAAAACCCCTATAGAGTCTTTGGGTGGTGGTAAGAGGGAAGAAGTTGGCAGAGAAGCTTTATATTCATTTAAAAAAATCTGTGGGGATTTATGGAATATTAGGAGACTACATATTTCAAAAGATTCCTTCCAGGAAAGTACCCCTAGCATGTTAGTTAAAAACTATTTTTTTGAATGCCTGGTTGAGTTGTTCTTTAAGTGAGGGAATTCCTTAAAGGGCCATAATGACAAGGAAAGGCTCTTGCCTCTTCCTTCGAGTACTTAGAAGCATGAGTGACGTCTACTGGTGTCAAATGGGAAAGGCTGGGAAGCTCTGCACTAGGAGCCCCTGCCTTCCACCTCTCACTCTCTGGCACATCCAGCCCCCGCCCCCACTCCACCCTGGCCAGGCTTTCACACGGTTCTTTGCAGGCAGACTAAAGAGAGCCTTACCTTTTCTGACCCTTCGTGTCTCTGGTCCTAGAGAGTCTTGGCCCTGCAGTTGCCCGAAGCCCTCCTCGTCGAAATTCTGCCACCCCCGGGGCATCAGTGTTGAAATTTCCTGACTGAGTTCTTCGGATTCTGTGTGGAGAGGCGTCCGGAGACACTGTCAAGGACAGTCTGCAAGCAGCAGTCAGTGCCCTCCTTCTACACGGGGCCATACCAGCCAGGCCCAGGACTCAATGGCACCGCTTCCCAGTGCCTCCCCAGAGGTCAAGGATCATGACCTGTGACAGCTCCTTGGCCAGACCCAAACCTCAATTCTATTCCTGCCTCTGGGATTTGGGCCACTCCCTGTGGGAGTGAAAGCGAACTCTGGTTATTTCACAGACTGAGTCAGCTGGGCCAGCAGGAAGTCAGCTTTCTATCTTCAACGATTAAGTCACAGACTGACCTCTAAAAAGGAAGAGATTGGTCTCACACATGTCTCCCCCAAGACGCAGGCGGCTGAGCTACAGAGATGTGCTCCGGGGCGTGGGATGGAGGGACGCCTAGAATGGATGGCATGCAAGGCAGCTGGCTGTTACTTAATGGGTGCCTTTCTGAGTTCCTTTCCTCTGGCCCTAAAAACGTCACTCAAATTCTTGCTTCTAAACGTGACCACTCTATTTTTACTGCTGTTCCAAAGTCTAATTGAATAGGGGTTTATGTAGACTCTTTGCCTAGTCAAGAAGAATATGAATTACAAGCAATATCTTCACGATCATTACCACCAACTTACTTTCCCCAGAACTTCCTGATGCCTTTGGGGCTCCGTTTACCCTCTGGTGTCAGGGGAGACTGGGGGCCAGACTCGGTGCCGGAAGATGTGGAGGAAAAGTCGTTGGCCATAGTAGTGTCGTCCCAACCACTCTCTGTGTCTCCTGAGAGTGAGAGAATGGGATGAAGTGTGAATGAGAGGAAGGGACATGACCTTTAGAACCCCCTCCCCACCTGGGCCATCACCCTTCAGTGGGAGTTGGGAAGAGTCTACCCAGCTCTGCCTTCAGGGAAGAGCTTTACATTAAGATCTCAGTAGGGGGCTCAAGCACACTCCAGGTTTCTCTCTGAGGAATTAGTGAGTTTAAGATTTCAAATCTGGTGAGCTCATATCTTCAAATTCTAAAGGTGTGGGGTTCAAGAACTTGCAGGTAATTCCAACAAGGAGATTGCTTGCTTTTTTCCCAAGGGGGACAGGAGAACAGGCAGATGTGGGGGGAGGGACCTGACTGAGTGTTGGGGGGGGATCAGGGTAGAGAAACAGGGCATCTCACTCTCCACCTCACCTGGAAGGGTACAGTACCTAATACGGGGGCACTGACACTCCGGCCACGATCTCCAGCCAACCAAGAAGCAGAGAAGCCACATGAAGAAGCAAGAGAGGCCCAAGTCCAGCCCACCAGAGTTACAGGGAAGCAAAGAAATAAACAAGAGAGTCATCTAGCAAGAGAGAAAAACTCAAACAGAAAGCAAAATAATCCCACAAGGAAGGAAGGGGCCCACAGGTCAGCGCACTGAGAGGAGGTTTCAGGAGAGGAGACCGAATGCTCCTGGAGCCACTTCCTGGCAGGCGGGGTAGCCACACGCAGGGAGAGGGAGGGGGAGTGGCAGGGGCTGAATACACAACTTGGGCAGGTGCCAGGGCTCATTTAGTCAGACTAGAATGTTCAAAGCTGCCTCGAGTTGGAGCATCACCAGGACATAGTCATTCAAGGGCTTATCTGGAGTTCCCACAGCCAAAGGCAGAACTAGCTGAGGGCAGAAGCCAACATGGGCTGGCACTGGGACAGCCGGGGGTGAGGAGTCAGGGTAGGGAGAGCCCTGCCAGGCCCGGGACATTCCCTGCTGGGCCCCATTGATTGGCTGCTGCTGTTGGGCCTTTTACACATGAAAAGCAGCAAAGGTCTCCGGCCCTAAGCACCAAAAGGATACCTGTGGACTGACATCCTTGCCCACTGGCCACTGATTCCATTTCTCTAAGGAAATGCTCTCCCTTGGAAGAGCCCATATCATCCTACTGGAAATAGAGAGGCTGCAGAGAGGAAGGCAGAGACAGGAAAGAGAAGATCAGGATGACAGAGGAGGGAGAGAAAGGGATGGGAAAGGTGGAGTCGGAGTCAGAGGGAGAGAGAAAAGAGGGAAGATGGGAAGGACAGGAAAAGGTTCGAGAGAGGAGGAACAGAAGAGAGATGGGGTGGAGCAATTGCAGCTGGAAAGAAAAGGTGGGTATACACCTGGGTTCTCTGGCCTCCAAGGTGTTTACTGAAGGAAACATTCTGCACCGACAGGGAGCCAGAGTCTCGGGAAGTGGTATGAGTTGTCCCATTCACCCCCTCTCCCCCTCATCATGCTCCATCTGTGGGCTGCAGTGGTGGGCACAGGCTCTTGTGCAACAATTGGTAGTGCCAAGGCTACTGCTCCAGGGGCCACCAGCCCAGGGGCTGGACACTCACTCAGCCTCAGCAGGCTGTTTCCTGTGGGGTCAGGCTGAGAGGCAAGGGGAGTAGATTTGGCAGCATCTCCATTGGGCATGGCTCCTGAAAGCTTCCCAGGCAATGTGGGGTATTTGTGCTCCATCGGGAAAGGGCTGTCCTGCTGGAAAGAGAGATGCTGATTAGCTGTCAGTCTCAGACCCAAACCCAGTTAGGAAATCTCTGGCTGCAGGAGCAACTCCTTTTCTCCAAGAGTCATTTTTTCACTCAGGCTGACTCAAAGATCTCTCAAAGGTCATTTAGTCCTGGTAAGGAAAGGGGACCAGAGGTCTGAGAAAGGAAGAAACTTGCCCAAGGCCACACACAGTGATACAGGGATGGAATAAAGGCCAAATTCAGGGCTGACAGTAACTGACTCTAAGCAGTTAAGTGGAGCCATTTTGCAAAGGGGGCCTTTGCATTTGGTCTAGCGCTCAGAGGCTCAGTGAATTAACAGCTGTAAATTACCCTTTGAGCTCTTTGAATATATAAATCAGAATTATAATAAAAGCTATTGCTTTATTATATAATAATACGTAACAGTTAATATGTTACATGTAGCTAATATATATTATATATTAATTACTATATGATAATAGTGACTTTGAAAAATATCAGGTTAAGGCAAAGTGAGAAGGTATGCATGCATTCGGGGAAATGGCAACAGAAAGTGAGTGAGCAGCCTCTGTGCCAACATGGAGTGTCCCCTGGGAACTTAGGGTCCCAGTCTGCATGGGGGTTAGCCTGATGCAATGGGCCCAGGCCATAGAAAGCGTCCCAAAGACACAAGTTAACTAAAGGGGAAAGAAGAATTGGACTTAGGATCAAGAAAGTAACAATGGCCCCTAAATTCACAAACCTGAGGGAAACATGGTGGAATGCATTTGAGAGAGAATAAAAGAACATGAAAAATCGAAGTAACATTACAAAGGAAGTCAACTGCCAGTCACTGGGTCGGACTCAGAAGAAAAGTAACATGGAAGACAAAGCCAATGTCCAAACGGACAAGTCAGATTAGGAAGAGGACACTTCTGACACCTTTTGAAGTTTTATTTAGTTTGCAGCCAAGTACCCAATAAATTTTTGAATTCAGTTTGCTTACAAATGCATGTCCTAGAAATTGTTTGAATGTCCAATTCATTCATTGGACATTGACTACTAATGCCCTATAAATTAGCATTAGTAGCCAGAAAGGAGGGATATGGGAAAAGTTAATTCTCAAAAAAAGCTGAAAGAATGGACAGTGAAGTAAAAATCATCAGAACCTGAGTGATTTTTACCTGAGTGAAGTTCACAGTGACCCATAGGTAGACACTGGATCTGGTCAGACATGGTCTCAAGACCCACAGTTTCCAAGTACTAGTCCATGGACTGGCTGCTTCCTAATTACCTGGGGCACTTGTAAAATCAATATAAATTTCCAAGTTGCAACTTGGTTCCAGGAGTCTGTGTTTTTAACAAGCATCTCAATCACTCTGATGCACAGTCAGACCCATGAACCACTGGCTGTGGGGGAGTCAGAATTCAGAAAGTTTACACAATTGACAGGTATGACTCCAAGTTCCATATTATACACATAGGAGTGGGAAAGACTCAAAACAGATTTCCAGTTGTGTCAACACACACTCCCTCCTGAGACAGGGCAGAGACAATCACGGCCACTGCCTTGGCCATGGTCTGGGAGCTTGCTGAGGAGCTGATGTAAATAGAGCACATGGACCTAACCCAAGGATGGACTTCAAAGGTGGCCAGGCCAGTGAGAAAGACAACAAAAGAAACCAAAGGCAACAGAAAGGGCTCTTAGCTCTGTTCAGCAAAGAGGAAAAGATGGGAAGAAAGAACTCGTTGCAGGAGAAGGTTGTACAGGGTCAGGAGGGGACAGGGGAAGCAGAAAGGCTTCAGCCAGGCCTGCCTCCCTGGTCCCCAAGAAGGCATGATGGGCTATGGAGGAATGGAGCTCCCAGCCAGGCAGCAGCATGTAACTGCCCAGCACACAGAGGCAGCACACGGGCATGGGAGGAGCCCAGGCGTTGAGTCAGACCAGCTCAGACCAGCTAAAGAGAGGCTTCTCTTTAGCCTCTCAGAACCTTTTATCGTTTCTAAATAGAGAAAAACAATTCCTGCCTCAGGCCTAGCACAAACAGAGGCATGAAAAAGATCAGGTGCCAGGGCCTGGAGTGACGGCAGTACAAGAGCAGTTTCTAGATGGAGGAAGACACAGGGCAGACCCATCAGGAATATCATGCACAAGTGTGGTCCAGGGCGCAGTCCAATGATCCATCCAAGGAGACTGATAGGAATGCCAAAGGTTTGTGATCTGTGTACACGAGAGGATGTTCAACTCAGAGTGGGCCTGTGGGACTCAAATTCCAGAGCCGTCAGGAGCAGGGGAGGACTCATGCCATAGTCTCCAGAGGGAGAGCCAGGATCAGTGAGGCACGTGCGAGGGAAGCCCAGAAGATGTGGCTCAGAGACACAGCCAGGAGAAAGTACAGGGGGTGTCTTACAGTGTAACCAGCTCTCCGTCACCCATGTTAGGGGAGGCTACAGAAAGATTCTTGTGGCTGCAGCCGAGTGCACTTCTGTGTTTTTAACCGTGACATAGGAGCACAGAAAGAATGAGAGCTGTCACGCTCCTTTAATTGTGTGCTGAGAGCACACCCCTTCCCAGAGATCATATCTATGTTGCCTGGTTTAAGGTGAATTTCTCTGAGCCTATAGAACAAAGAGGATAATCAGAAACTCTACCCCACAGATACTGGAGGGGAAAGCACACACTGGGGCACATACAATAAAACAGGAGTTTTTGTCTTTTCTCTCACCCTCTTACCCCTCAGAGTTAACATATTTTCAGGTTACAAAAGCTATAATGTGCTAAATAAAAATACTCTAGGAAGCAATACAATCACATACAGGTGATAGGGACATGTACTTAACGTACCTTGGGTTCTCCCACTGGGGAGAGTTTGTTCCCATCGACACACTATGGAATGACAAAAAGATCTCAATTATTTGGAGAAAGAGAGACCTGTGTTAGTCATAAACAACAGCTCAGGACCAGATAGAATCTGCAAGTCTCATCCCCTCCCTCCCTATTGCTACACCAGGTAGTCACCATCCGCGGCAAGAAACACAGATCACTGTCCAATCCCACAGACAGGTGTCTGGGCACCTGCCAGAAGTCTGACCAGGAAGAGCAAGAGGCACATGACCATGGAGCAAAGCTATGAAATGGACCTGTGGCTCCTGTCACCTCCAGCCCTTACAGTTTTCCACTGTGTCACCTAGGGAGGCTGGTGCACTGCTGGACACCAAGGGGTCTATGCAGTGGGCTCAGTGAAGGTGCTCTATCAGGGCAGGACCCCTTCGGCTCCGATGGGAGCCTGTGGCCGCCTCCTCCAGCACAGGGATCACCTGCATGGTAAAGAGCTATGCTCATAAGGGGCCACAAAGCCTTCCTCACCTTTCCAAACTCTTAAAAAGGTTCCTCTCCAATCTTCTCAATTATCCCGTAGCTTACTCCTGGGATCACCTCCATTACCCACATTACTTCCTCATTCAGAATCTCTGTAACACACTCAGTGCCCTAGGAATGTACAGGGCCAGTATTTGAGGTCTTCTTCGGCTTGATATGCCCCGTAGTCCTGGTCTTACTTCCTCCTTCTCCCCATTTCCCAAATCCTGCCCAGGCCCACTTCAACAACTTTCCTTATCAGCTACAGGCAGCATTTCCTGACTTGCTTGGCCTCTATGATGCCTTGGGCCACACCTGACTGGTTTTCTCAAAATGTCTAATTCCTGCCTCCTTGTTAACTTTATAAAAGCCTCTGTAAGGTGGGCACCAGGACCTCGCCTGTGTGTCCCAGCGCTGTGCTGAGTACCAAGAAGTAACTCAGGAGACTTATGGAGAGACTGGTGGGCCGACCTTGTCCACGGAGTCACTTCTCAAGTCTTCTAGACTGCAGGAGTGTTTTTTCAGAGCCCTGGGAAAACACGAAGGAAGAGTTCCTGGAGAAGAAGGGTTGGAGCATCGTTCATGCAGAGGGCATTCCGCATGTTTAGCCAGTAGTCTGTCCTGGGCTCTGGGTGAGGTCGGGAGAAACCACCCTGTCATCATCACTGTTACATGTAGGATGAGACTGGCCCATCTGGGGATAGCCAGTGTGTTGGTGAGGGCATGAGGGCATCCCTTAAATCCAAATTAAAAGTCCTTGGCATTCCTCAAAAAGCTAAAAGACAATTCAATTATGTTAAATAATGTGAGCTGACTGTTTTGGTTGTAAAAGACCAATGTCTACAGACTCAAAGAGAGGAAAGGTCTGAGCACTGCCTTGTCTGGGAGTCTAAGAGTAATCCAAGGAGGCAGACTTACTTTAGAGTGGAGACAAGCACATCAGCCAGGGCCAGCCCCAAAGCATTACCTGCTGGAAAGCCCCAACCCTCTGCTCTGGCTCTGTGTGAGTTATTCAGTGTTGACTTCCTCCTGAGTGAACTCATAAACCAAATTTCTTATTCTGCTAAACTAAGGGCAGGCTCATGGCCCTCTTTGACACCACCACTTTTTCTGGGACTAAAGGGTCATGGAAAATTGGCTCTTCAGGGTTGTAAGAGTATAGGCTCTGGAGCCTCAGTGCCACTCTGGGGAAGAGTCCAACATGCTGATGGCCACCTTCTCCAGAAAGACAGTCGAAATGTGCTCTCGGGGCTGACAGGGGGAACTAGAAATAGGTTCCTCTGGGGGGGAACCAGACAGATGACAGCCAAATGATCGCCCAGGGCAGCCCATTATAAGCTCATTGCTATGTGAAGCTTCTCCAAAGCAACTGGACCAACTCCCCTATAGCAGAAATGGCCCTTCCTAGAGAGCATGGCTTGTCACAAGGTTAGATTCACCCTAAGAGTAGGAAGGGCTGACAAAAGTGACAGGCACCCATCATGGGATGCTCTCAGCTCTGATGAGCCCCTGGAGGGCACAGCTGAGGTGCAGCTACCCCTCCTCTGAGGATCTAACCCCTGGTCAGGGCTCTTCTCAGTGACAATGACCCAGACCTTCGGCTGTGGGCAGGGGTGATAAGCATGGCTCATGACTGCTCTGTGGTTTTGGTGCCACTGTGGCCACTGCTGGGGCCTGGATTGCTGCCCTGATGGTGGCAGGGTAGGTGTGCCCAGGGCATCATGGTCATGCTCATCACATGAGGGGCTTGAGGGTACAGTGGCTCTGGGAAAATGCTTCAGCCTCCTACCTGGTTTCCAGTGATTTCTGCGGAAGTGGAGGCGGCCCCCCTATGGGAGAGCTACATCTTGGAGGCATCTGCATCAGAAAGAGAAGAGTCATCGTAGAGGACAGTCACTGTTCGGAGGCCACCCACCACCCTTTCTCCTTCTTTGGACGATTTTTCCTCGGGAGTTACATTTCTGCCCCTGGGTGGCTACATGAATTCTGGTGCTTTGCTCTTTCAGGATACGAAGGAGGTGGGCATAAACGAACAACCCGGGCCAATGTGCCTGTCCTTCCTGGGCCTAAGTTCACCCTAGCAGCAGAGTCCTGACAAGAGTCCTGAGACTTGAAATCCGGGGCTCTTGCTGCTCCTGCCCTTTCTGAGCTTGGTCCTTCAGCTTCTCCTTTCATTCAGTGAGCCACCGCTCACCCTTCCAAACACATTCCTTTTTTTGCATAGGTTAGCCAGAGTAGACCTCTGTTGTTTGCAGTGAACAGTAATGCAGCTGATAGAGTCTCTCAACAAACGTGAGCACCATCTACTACTGGCCAGGCCTGGAGCTAGGTGTGAGGCTAGCACACCCCATATCAGGGAAGCAGACAAGTTAATGAGGATAAAAGATCAATGTGGCATGTCCTTATGGCACCAATACCTGTAACATGACATGGGGATAGAGGAGAGGCAGGGGCTCCTCTCACTGGTGGGAAGGTTAGGAAGGCTTCAGAGGGAAGGCGACTTGAGCTGACTCTTAAGGACTGAGAACAGGTTCGCCAAGGAGGTGAGAAAGGAACGAGCATCACAGAGGGCATGGACTGGAGCCAACGGTGGTGCACAGGGATGCAGTCCTGTGTCTTCAGTGTTAGACTGACTGGAAAAACCACCTCTTTTCTCTAGAGCACAGAGTCTTTTTGGTCTGCTGTAGGAAGGGCCCCGGCAGCACAGTACCGTTGTTAAACCCTGGCTTTTTGGTCAAATAAATCTGGCTTCAGGTCAAGGTTCTGCCATCTACTTGCTGTGTGACCTAGAGCAGATCACTTAGCCTCCCTGAACCTCTGCTTTACCACAACAAAATAAGAATCCCAATGGGGTGTCATGAGGAGTGAATGAAGTGAGCCGAACACGGTGCTCATCACACTGACACACAGAGGTGCCGAGTCTGGATCCGTCGCTGCTGTTTTCCTCTTGCCAGCAATCTGGGATGCTTGCTGTGACTGGGTAACTGGGTCATCGGGTGACACTTTTACTCTTTCCTTAATTACAGGAGTGTAGACCACCAAGATCCTCTTCAGCTTGGCTGTCCTGGAGTTTCTTGAATTTTTTAGATCCTAGATTAAAGCTCCTTCTCCACCTGAGATCTGTATGTATGAGTTTGCTTATTTGTGCCTATCCTAAGTCCAGAGAGGTTCATATAAAAATAAGCAAAAGAAGAGAAGGAAAATCTACACACTGGTTATAGGGTCTACAAGGGACATTTGAAGCAGGAACATATCACCTCCAGACTGGCAGTTATCCCTCTAAATGAGCAAGACACCTCCATTCATTCAACAATATTTGTTGAATTCTACTGGGTACCAGGCATTATTACAAACTCTGGAGAAACAGCAGTAAGTAAAAGTGACAACACTTTCAGTCTATGCTTACATTCTGAACAGGAAAGACAAAACAAACAAACAAACAAAGGAACTGGATTAAAAAAGAAAATTCCTACCCTTGAAAATCCAGTATCCACTATACTGTCCCCCTAAGGGGAACACGGGCCTGTGCCTGGGCCCCTGCTGTCCTCGGGGCTCTCTCCCCAAGGCCTCTGGGGCCACTTCATTGATGTAAATTTTCACCTGTCAAGGTTTATACCTAACAGTTTCCTGACTAGATCCTTCCCCATGCTCAGGGTAAGCTCTTAGGGCCTGCTGAAACCCCACATCACGATGTAAACACAGCACCTCTGGTTTAAACAATTCCTCGGGGCCTTTATTTGTAGTGTTCCGTTTTCTGAAACTTCCTTCCAGCTCTTCCTCATTGATTGAAAGACTTCTCTCTGAAGGCCCTGGAAGTATTAACGCACAAAAGATGATCACTATTATAATTGTACCACAAAATCCTGACATTGTTTTTTTCTTCGTGAAGAAAGATAAGCAATATACACAGGGGCATTAAGAGTGATCTGGAAGATTCTTGGGGGCATGTGAGCAAGGGCTGCCAAGCTGGAGGTCTCAAGACCAAAGCCCTTGTGTGGAACAGAGAGAATGTACCCCGTGGTGACCCTCTCCAACCTTCCGACTCCTTGGCCACAGGCAGTCAGGTCCTGAGAGTGACCTGACCCAAGATCTCAAAAGATGAGAGAAAACGGGGCAGTGACACGCACACGGGAATGAGGTGGGAGGGAGGGGGACTTGTAGGCCCCGGGTAGTGACCAGTCGGCCGTAACCCAGTTTGGGGCTGTTTCTTCTTCAGATGAGGCAGCCAGAATCAGAGATTCCTGAGTACCTTCAAAGTCGCTCTCTGCAATGACACAGCTGCTTCCTTGGGATCTGTGATGGAAGCCCAGGGTGACGGTGTAAACACAGCGGGCAGCCTGGCACATGCCCCATGGCACCCATAAGAACATGAATGCTGCCTGCGTGTTGCATTCAGCCTGCGCAGCAAATATGAAATGCAAACGGCTCACCCTGCCTTGTGATTTCCTGTGGAATTCTAGGCACCTAAAGGCTCATAGAAGCCTCCTCAAGTCCCTGGGAGTCTGCTGGGGACATCTTTACATTCTCCAGTAGGTGGACAAGCTTTAGTCTCCATTAAGAGCACGGAACTGATCTTTGATCCAGGTTTGATTCCACTCACTGACTCTCTAAGAGGTAACCTGGGAAGATGCATAGGAGATCCTCCAAGGGTGGGGGTCCCCAAGGGCTCAATTTGAAGGCTTTATTTTCTTGGTGATCTGGGTAGTCTTTGAGAGTTCTGAACTGAATGCCTGGGACAACATTCCTGGAAGTCTTATTTGTTTATTTGTTTTGGATTGCGTGATACCTTTTTTATTTCAGATGTTGTAGATTGCAAAATCTTTACAATTGGAACAATGTTCTCCATTTTGCATTAAATTCCAAAACAGAATCCCAGCCAAAAGCAGCTTGTGAAAAGTACGAGGCATTAACCACTGTCACTACTAACTGTGACCTCACCATACATGATGGGAGGTGGGGGAGGGAGGAGCAATGCTTCATTTTATTCGGTATTTTTCTATTCTAAGACAAAGTTTCTGGAAATCTTAACAGCTGCTAATTTCCTACGATTCCAGACAGTCCAACCAGTTCCATCCTCTAGCAGAGGGTCTTCCCCAACTGAAGATGAAGAATCTTCTGGCCGGACTTCCGCTGGGTTTAACCTCCAGAAGCTGGAACACCTCCGAGAGAAAATGGCACTCTTACCTTGAGTTGCCAGCACGATCTCCTTCACCCTCCGGTACTGGTTTAACAGCACTGTGAGCTCCTCTATCCGACGGTCCTGTCACAGTGCGAGAGCAGACTCACATGTAAACACCACCACTGGCACCTCTGGTGGGTTCATCTGGGAGCCTGGGCTGTGTTTTGGGCCCACTGAGAGGGGACACCATGTGGAAACATGGTGTCCCAGCCCATCCCAGAGCCTGCCTTCCAGGCAGCAGCAGGAACTCTTGCCTCTCCCTGAAGGCTGAGTCCAGTCTCTGGCCATAAAACAACCCCTGTCTGACAGGGCCTTCGAGGGGCTGAAACAGTTCCAGAAGCAGAAACTCAGGGTCCCCCCACCCTCCTGAGGTAACCATTAAAGTCTGCTTCCTGATCCAAATGTTGTCCTCGGAAGCTACCCACAAAAAAAAAAAAAAAAAAAAGAGAAGACTAGATAAACATGTCCATTTATCCAAATATTTTTGCCTGTTTTTTAGGAGTCTGAGGTTCCTCACACAACAAAGAACATTCCCAGAGGGACCATTTCCTTCAGCAGAGGCCTCGGAACTTGGGAGGCCACACAGACCCTGGAGTAAGACAGACTGGCATCAACTCAAGCTCTGCCGTCTGCTGTTACCCGACCTTGGGCAAAACCACTGATGTGCTTTCAGCCTGTTTCCTCAGCTGCAACGCGCGGGGGTGTGATCCTTCCACACTGATTTTTGTGCCAGGTGGGTCTTCTATATGTACAGAGGTGTTTATTTCATGATTACGAGGGAATTCCATGTGAAGAATGTAAGACGGCAGAATAAACGACCTGCCGCCTAGTGTCCCTAGGACAGGTCTACCACAGGATCACGCACGTGGGAGATGGGCGACGGGCTGTGTGTGAGTTTTGCTAGGAGCCTATGCACCAGCTTTGTCCGGTAACCACACTGGTATTTTTTTCCACCACACCAGCATGAACAGGCACGGCTTTTATCTGCCTTTGGGAGATTCCATTTAGGCCAAGTTCCCAGACACCAAAGCCAACAACAGGTGGCTGAGGCCTGGTCTCTAGGAAGCAGAAGCTGTTCTGACACAGCCCTGAGTCAATGGCCTGATGGGCATGGCCGTGTCCAAAATGTCAGTAACCAGCAGGGACCAAAGAGAACCAGGGAGGTCAGCAGGTGAAAGACAGGTTGCCCAATCTTACCTTATCTTCATTGGCAATAAGTAAAGTTTCCATCCCAATTTTCAGACGTTGAATTTCTTGGTCTAAAAAAATTAAGGTGTGGAAAGAATTATTTATATAAATGTAGATAGCTATCCCCTCATGCTAAGATGCTCCTCAAGTGAAAACTTGAGGACTCTCCATGTGAATGAATTACACATGGACTTCTTCACTTCTTTAAAGAGCCCATAATGGTGTTGGCATAGAATTCAATCTCATCAAATATTTGTTGGATTCATAAATGAATGAAGCAATCATTTTGTCTTCCCTTATAGACAATTGTGGGGAAAAAACAGAATGTCATCTAGTCAAAGGTAACACAGAAAAAAATCTTTCATAACTAACATCTCACAAGAGTACAGACACATATCCTTTATAACTTGTTGGGCATATACCTGGGCTGAAACTAGTTTTTAAAAAAATCACACAGTCCCATGGACTGTAGCAGAGAATTTAAAATAAAGTGGTGAGGGAGGGGGTGTAGAATTCTATAGTTGAATGGAAACTGGAAAAGAATAATTAGGTAAAGGAGTTGATGACTTAGCGTACTCTAAAATGGGATAGTCAGAACTGACTACCAGATGCTCAGACACACCTGCGTCTAAACTCTCCTGTTGAGGAAAACAACCCTGCTTCATCACGCATCTACAGAATGTCCCTCTGGGCTGAGGGATCTGTTTCAGTCTGTGGGGGACAATTTAAAGACTTCTCTCACTTTGGACCCAATGGGGTCTTTCTTGACTCCTTCCAAAGTGGAGAGCCAGGTCAAAGGCCAATGCCTAATGGAGCTGGAGGTCACTCTGCCAATATTTAGAGGACTAGAAAGTGGCACATAGATTTTCCAAACAAGGATACACCCATATGCAAACTGGGCACTGCAGAGAGAATAGAGGTACCTATGTAAGAAAAGTACAGGGGACAAGGGAACAAAAGTATCTGCTCCCCAATTTCCTTTTAGGATTCTTGCTATATCCAACAAGAATAGGAAGAAGAGATTTATGTACTTGGTATAAGTAGGTGTAGGGATATATTTCAGAGGAAAGTGCAGAGTACTTGCTTATCATCTTACGCTCTTGGCGGCTGAAGGCCAGCTCAGCAGTCCAGCAAGTGGGGGGAGCAGGAGCTCCATATGAAGACCCTGATGCTTTGAGCAGCAAATGACCAGAGGACCAGCTCCAAGAGTACCTGATGGTGGAATGGGGCCTGGAAGGCTTGGACTGTGGAGTAGCGTAGGGTACAGGGGGAAGGCTGCCTGGTCTGTAAGTCATGGATCAGGGAGCCCTCTGTCCTGGTTTAGTATCACAGATAATCTAGGAGGATACCTTAGGGGGATGCAGCCTCCATATTAGGTTTAGTGGGTGAGTGACATGCTCAATGGCTGGGAAAAGAAAGCCTAGGAAAGGGATTAGGATACTGGTGACTACTTCTTGCACTAGCCTAAACGACTGCTCCATGGCTACACAGCTTCCCCACCCCAGCCAGGGATCAGAGCTAAGCAATGCTTGGCCAAATAAGTTTGGGTAATAAGGCCAATCCACAGGGCTATATGATCTCCAGCATTATTCTGCGGCCTGAGCCAAGAGGAAAAGTGGAGAGATGTGTGATCATTTGTATACAAAATAAATACCATAAATACTAAATATGTGCTAATAAGAGTATTTATCCTCTAGTTTTAATCAGCAAGACTTGAACTCTTTGGGGACCATTCACCATCCTTTCATTTATTCAATAAATATTTCTTAGGAACCTAATGTGGGCCAAATACTAGGCTCTAAAAATACAGTCTTAAAGAAAATATAGATGTAGTCCCTGCCCCAGTGATGACGACAGTCTACACAAAGAGAAGCCCCAAAGTGCAACACTGACAAGGTATAATACACGCTATGGGGAGGAAACAAGAACACTGACTTAGAAAATAGGATTAGAAGCATCTGCATGAGGTAGAGTGGCCAGGAAAGGTCTTTCTGACAGGTAATGTTTCTGACAGGTTGAGATCTAAAGGATGAGCAATAACTAATTGTTTCTGTAAACTCAGGGCCTTGTACAAGCATCAGACAGGTATCCATTAAATGACTGAATGAATTGCTAACACCTCCCCTTTGGCGATAACACAAAACAAGCCCTTTCAATCAGGTGAACATCTAAAGCTCAAAAGGTGGCCACGCACAGATTGAATGGTCAGAATGCATCTGAGAAAAGCCTCCAGAGCTGAATCTTCTGGACAAGGAAGGGGTTCACGGCACTGATTCAATGACAGTGCTGTGCTTTATAGGCCCAGGCATGCACACATGCATGCGTCCATTCACTAGGCCATGTTTGCACACATATGCACTTATATGCACATTAGCATGCCTACTCACACAGGCATTCACATCCACAGACATACATGCCTGCTTATAAGAGGGGGCACAGGACCCAGGCTTTGACTGTGCATCCCGTCACAGTCAAACCAGTTACCTTTCTCTGCATGATCACTGTGGAAAGTTGCAGTTCGGGAGAGCTGGCTATGCAGACGCTCAATTTCTGCATCCTTCAGGGCCACCTGCTCTTGCAGTTGGGCCACCTCCGCCTAGAAGAAAACAGAGGATCCCTACCAGTTCAAAGGGACTACCAAAGTGTAAAGAAGTTTCTCAAGTCAGAGCCCAGTGCCAGTGGGTCCTAGGACATGTTAGGAGATTAGGAGCAGAGGAGCCAAAGTTGAGCAGTTAGAAGTGCTCACTGCCCTCTCCACAAGGTGGAGCTCTGCTGAATACAGTCATTCTTTCTGGACATTTTGGCCTTGCCTGTCTCTGTCCATCCACCTGCTCTTGTCCTGCATCTTCCTACCAGACTAGATTCTCTCCATCTCCTGCCCTCTGTGGTCCAAACACCACTGAGACTGGAAGAGCTGGGACTGTGTCCAATGGGAAGGCTGCCCTTGGTCTGGAAATGGATAATCATTTTCTGGATGTGCTCTTCCTTCTCCCTAGATAGTTATACAACAGCATGTATGTACTCCATTGTTGCAAATACATGCACTTTTCATTTTTCCACCCAACTGAGGAAATAACTGGAAGTCAAATCACTAGTTGTAGATAAAGAGTGAGCACAGAGTTGCCTCCCTCAAACGCTCTCCCACCCTTTGTTCATAGCCACTGCCTCTGCCCAACCTCCAGGCACACTAACCCACACATACATACATGCAAGCACTCAGGTTCACTGAGCAGAAATACTTTTGCAAATAAAGCAGGTAAGTACAGCCCCACCAGTGCGCACACACATTTGTGCATGTACACACATGGGCAGGTGCAGTGCATGGTTCTCTACCACATATAGCAGGTTAAATCTCACACCTGACAGTAGGTGTGGCTGTGTCCCTGATTCTCCACACTCATTAGAAGATCGAAACTGTGCGGATCCATCTCAAGAGGCACATTGACTTTGAGGTCAAACAAACTTGGATTCTCTCACTTCCTGTTGGGTGACCTTGGGCAAGTGAGTTAACCTTTCTGAGTCTTAGCTCATCTGTGAAATGGGGAAAATGGCATTTACCTCAGGGGGCTGTAAAGAGGATTAAATAAGATAACGGTTATGAACAATTTAGCCTAATGCTTGGTAGATAGTAAGCATTCAATAAATGCTACTATTGGTGCTCACATCCTGTTCCTTCCCTTATGATAACTAGCTAGTTCTCTGAGCATCAAACCGGACTAAGTAAGAGGTTGAGAACCAAGCCCTGAGCCAGACAACAAAGCACACAACAAAGACCTCTACTCTGGCTGCACCTGCAGTATGTGGGAGCCCAGTCGCACCCTGCCTTCATTTCTCAAGGTTATGGAATGGGCTGTCCTTTCCCACAGACACACGAGTTAATCTGTGAACAACTCCAAGTAGCCAAGTGATCACTGTTCCTGTTGGCAGCTCCTCTGCTAAACAGGCCTGTGTTTAGCTTCAGGACCCATGACTGAGCAGTCACTCTGCGTGGACCCCTGTGCTGTCCACTTTCTTACATAAAACCTCCCTCAGTCTCCACATGAACCCATGGGAGGAAGCAATGTCCCTGGGGAGAAAATAGGAGTCATGAAAGATTCAGTGGTCAAGTCACAGAGCCATTTAGTGACCAGGCAAGGATGTAATCCAAAGCCAGGCTCTCACCACCACAGCAGGTCTGCTTCTAAGATTAGCAGGACAAATAAGAGCCACTCTTGCACAGCTTGGGCTCCCTGATGCCACTGCGAGGGTTTCTGAATAAATCTTCCCTAACAGCTCCCAAGTGGGCAGAGATGACCAGGTAAAGAGAAAGAGGTGGCACAGGCTAGGTTTCCTTACTCCCAAGTTTCCTATGGAGCCCTGCCCCTGTGCTCTGGTCTCCACCCAGAGGCCAGAGAGCTGAGTCCATCTGTGTCGAACTGCCTGCTGAGGCTCACAGCCCACAGCAGCTTTTCCGGCTCACTCAGGGCCACAGTGGCTTCTGAGAAGCTTACCCTTGAGATGCTCAATCCAAATGTCTCTCATTTCTGTAAGAGCCAGACTAGTCTTGGAAAATACTCTCTAAACCTTTCTTGTACTTCTCCATGCCCACGTCTCCCTTTCTTTGCAGACAGGGTCCGGGCTGGTATCTGTCAGGAATCTGCACACCTGATGCTTGTCCACAGGCCCCATTGGTGGAACAGACATCAGTGGCATGGGCCTGGTGGGGCAGACCCCGGACACGACGAAGCCTCTGCTCTTTGAGACCTGCCCCTGGGTGAGGTCAGTTATTTATTTATTTATTAGTTTTTAATCCTCATCCAAGAACATGTTTTTACTAATTTTAAAGAGAGGGAAAGGGAGACAGAGACAGATATACAGACATCAATCTTTTGCCTCCCATACATACCCGACTGGGGACTGAACCTGCAACCTAGGTATGTGCCCAATCCGGGGTTGAACCCACAACCTTTTGGTGCATGGGATGGCACTCCAACCAGCTCAGTTACCCAAAAAGGGAAAGGTCAGTCTTAAATATTTAAAACTCCACAAACCAAGTGGCTGGGCCCACCCTCCCATGTGCCAATTTCCACAAAATAGGCCAGAAATGACAGGGGCTCTGACGTCCTTTGAGTGGTGGCTGTCCCTGTAGCTGGGACGTCAACAATAGCCTGGAGGCCCTCTACTTGATCCTGAGGACAAAGTGTGCCACTGCCACAGCCACTGAGGGTAGAGCTGGTGTCGGACAGCCACGGGCGCTCTGACTCCCAGCAGGTGCTGGGCCTTACTAAACCTGGGACCGCACTCTAATGCAGCTGCACTGGAAGATGAATCCACTAGGGACTGAGAAGCTTTACAAAGAACAGTGAAGAACTTTCAGAACCACTGAGGGTTTTCACTGCAGGGAATCAGGATGGTATAGGGAAGAGAGCATGCGTTTTGGAATGGCACAGATCCAGGTCTGAACCTCACCATGGCTACTCTGAGCCTCGGCTTTCTTACCAATAAAATGAGGATGATAAACCAACAGACCTCGCCAGGTTATTTTATGGATCGAATGAGAAAAAGTGTGCAAAGGGCTTGGTACATTCTGGCACATAGGAGCTGCTCCACACCTGGTAATTATTAAATAACTTTTGGTGTCTCAAAGTCTACATGCCAAGGCAAAGGGCTTAGGTAATTTAAAATGAAAAGATTGGTTTGGTTTCATAAGAGAAGATGGTATGTATAATTTCACAGGCTGCACCAAGGCAGGCTCACCTGAGTGGAGCACTGCAACAAAGATTCTGCAGTCTCTGAGCAAATGGGGCTCCTACAAACAGTGGCCATGAAGCACAGTGCATAGCACGGTGCAAGTGGACAAAAACAGAGCGGTAGCTAAATGGATCTGGAGTGCCTAGCACTGGTGCTGACTAGCTAGCCATGAGATCTTGGGGAACTTAATTAACCACTTGGTGCCTCAGTTTTCTAACCTGTAAAATAGTCAAGTCAAAATGTTATATAGACTATTGACATCAACACTGTGTTCAGAGTCTTTCAATAGCATGAAATAAAGTTGTAAATAAATTATCAACCCCAGAAATTGACAGAGAGAGAGAGAGAGGGAGAGAGAGAGAGAGACTGAGAGTCCCAATAAAAGAAATGCCAGGAAGGAAATATTAATAGCGGTGGCTCCTGGGTGGTATAGGAGTGATTTTTTTTATTCCTTTAATTTGTTCTAGTTTAAAAATTCTCTATAATAAATATAATTATTTTATACTAATTAAAAGATAACTTACAGAAAAATAAAACAAACTAGATGTTAAGGAAATGCTAATTAGTAAAGATGAAAGTGTCTATAGGGGCCAGGCACCAACACCTACCTATAGGTGGCGCTGTGGAGACCTGAGGGAGAGGGCAGGTGTGCACCCCACACAGAGGCAGCACTACCCGGGCTCCTCCTGGCAGGAATGCTGTTCCGGGTATGTGAGAGCTTCCTTCCTCACACTCCACCACCCCCAGGGCAGCCTTACTCTATTTCTAATATTTAAGTGACAACAAATTCGACATCCTTAAATACAACTTTCAGGCCAAAAAAAAAAAATCACAGGCTGACTCCAACCTACTTATTTTAATCTCTTCATTTCAATTATTACAGTAAATGGGGGAAGAAACAAAGGAGGGAGGGACAAAAATTATTTCACAAAAGAAGTTATCCATGGTATCTTTTTTATATTTTTAGACAGAGGGGAAGGGAAGGAGAAAGAGAAAGAAACATCAATGTGTGGTTGCTTCTTGCACGCCCCCTACTGGAGACCTGGCCTGTAACCCAGGCAAGTGCCCAGACTGAGGATAAAACCAGCCATCCTTTGGTTCCCAGGCCAGCACTCAATCCACTGAGCCACACCAGCCAGGACCCTTGGTGTCTTTTAAATAGCAAGCTCCCAAGTTCAATAGAAGTGTGATTTGATTTTGAAAAATTCAAAGTATACATCATTTTTAAAGGAATATATTCATAGCTGAAAATAAAGCATGCTGTTTCAAAAAACTGATTATTAGAGGGACTGGCTAAACTTAAAATGATGCAGCCAATATAACACTGACATTCATCTGCTTAAGGACTCATCACTCACTCACTCACTTGCTCGCTCACCCCTTTGTGGCACAACGTCAGCTGATGGTGCTACAGGACACAGCAAGAGGGGGGAGACCCAGTTACTTCAGCAACTCATAATCTTGTGGGCTTTCCTCCTTAAGAAGAGCCCCCCTGGGTCAAATCTCTCTGCTGAACAACCTGGTCACTGCCGAGTGTGCATACAGTGGGGTCAGTTTGCATTTTTCCAGCATGGGCTCCTGCAAACCCAGAGTTTAAACCCAGACGTTCCCCACTGGGCTTCAGTGTTTCCCTATAAGCATCAGCACTGCCTTTACCTTCGTGGCCTTCAGCTTCCACTCATACTGACTCCGTTCATTTTCCAGTTCTTCCACCTTGATTTTGAGGTGCTTGAGCTCTTGCAGTAACTCCTAGGGAGGTGAGGGAGAAAGACAAAGTTCTGACGATTACCGAGCAGGACGCTGTTCCCTGGATCTACAGCTCTGGTCAAACTCGTGCACAGAGGATGCCTGGGGCAGGAGCAACCACAACATGCTCCATACTGCAGTTTGAACCTTTAAACATGGTGCTGTTTCAGGAGAAGTGTGTGGCTAATTTTAAAACAAAGGCCAGGGAATTCTTGACATAAAAAAAAGAAGACTTGCTGCTTATTTTTAGAACCTGTTCTGCCCACCCCTTTCTGACGCCCACGTCCTATGTGGGGTGTGGCTGCCTCATACACATACGTGTAGGGGCGGGACAGGTACGGCTTGGGAGCAAGAAGAAAAGAGATGTGGAAATGAGGACGCTTCTTACAGACAAAGAAGGGGAAGCAGGTTAACTGGAAGCATCTTTTTGTGCTGAGTGAGGGCAGAGGAACCTAGAGGAGGGATCAGTGATCCTGAAAGGCTTCACAGAGGAAGTAACAGCCAGCAGGACAGACATAAGAACACTGAGGAAACAAATGCCAAGTAGCAAATGCAGAGGCCAGTCTGGGTATTCCAGGTCAGAGGAGGGGGTGGGTTTAAAGAAAGGAGGGAAGGAGAGGCGTGGGGGAGAGGATGAGAGATGAAACCAGGAAGATAAGGTAGGGGCCGGCTGAAAAGGCTTTTGGATGAGAACATAAGGATTTCTGATGCCACTGTTTGGACAGTAGGGAGCCACTGAAGGTTGCTGAGTGGGGAAGTGATATTTTAACAACTTGCCGATGATGGAGCTGGAATCCAAACCCACATTTTCTGACTCTAGGACCCCTGCTTTCTAAACCATCCCTTCAGCAAAGGTGGCATCTTTGACCCAAACTAAGAGTCCTTTTAACAGACAATCAGCCCTGCTGACTGGTTCCTATCAGAAAAACTAGCATTAAAAGTGATCACTTCCATAGACTTTCTGAACTCCAGACTCATCTAAGAAACTTTTTACCTGACCTGCCCACGTGGATGGCGTGCAGGCAACGGGTGGCCAGGCCCAAGTGGAACTTTTAATCGCCCCTCTTAGACTCCCCATCGCACTGCACGGCAGCTCGCCCACCAGATCGCCTGCGCAAAACCAGGGGTCTGTCCTTGGCATCTCCTCGCCCTTTCCTCCTACATGTGCCATTCATCCCCAAGCCTTGTTAACGCTTCTAAGGAAACACTGTGAATCTCTCACTGTCTCCAACTCGACACCACCACTCTGGTCTGGCTGTTGGTGCTGCCGGCCTGCACAGGCCCTTCGCTGGGTCCTCCGTTGTCGTCTTACCCTTCTTGAGCCCACCGACCCCCACAGCATCCAGGGGAACAATACTGTTAAAACACAGATCTGATCCTGGCACAACCCTGCTCCTCAAAGTTCATAAACTTTAACCCATGACCGATACAGCCTGGCCCAAAGCGTGCGGCCTCCCTCGCGTATTACCCTACCTCCTGGTCATGCTCCGGCCACACTGGGAAGTTTTTAGTTCCTCTTTCTGACTTGGGCCTTCACACACACTGTTCCCCTCTGTCGGGAACCGCTGGCCAGGTTAATTCCTGCCCATCCTTAAGGCCTCCCTCAGCAAGGCTATCCCAACCTCCTCCCTCCATCGGGATATATGTACCCGCTCACAGCATCCTGGATATCTCCCACACCGTTTGCAATGAAATACTTGCTGGTGTGATTGCTAATGGTTAGTTCACCTGTACTGAACTCCATGAGAAGTTTTGCTACCCTCTGGCACAAAGTAGGTATGCATTATTTCTTGATGAATGAACCTGTGAAATTCAAGTCATTGTTTAAGTGGCCCGGAGCTCTTTGCATTCTGAGATAATCCACCAGAAGGTTACGTTGCTCACAGTTGAATTTTGTAGGGTAATTTATTAAGATTTTCTTACAGCTGAGGGGAGCACTTGTCGATGCCTTTTAAAAACTGCATCTTCCGTGCTACGGGTACTGAATCTGTGATCTGCAGTGTTAGGTTTCTAGGCCTGCTGGGTCTTGCAGCTGAGCCAGGATCATTTTCTGAGAACATTTCTGGCCCTGCCTACGGGAGTGTGGGGCCTGCTGACAGAACCAGATGCGTGCAGGTTACTGCCTGAGGCGACGACGCCGTGGGGACACAGAGCAGGACGCTCTCTGGGCTCTTGTAACCTCCTTGGCAGCTCTTCTTCTAAGCTGTCTGATACCCGTCATCGGCTATAAACACCGGTGCAAATTTTAACTTTCTTTAGAAGCTTTTTCTGCTGTAACCACTCAACATGCCTCAGCACCCTCTCAGGCTTCTTTATCCAACTCTAGATTTATATCTTGGCTCCTAATTTTTTCTGTATCCTTTAATGTAGGAGGAAATCTTCCCCACTGAGGGCCTCCCCTGATGCCTAAGTCTGGGTAGAGACTTCCAACGTACTCCACAGTTGAGTATGGGTCATGGTAACTTCCTGCAGGGCTGAGGCAGACCCTCTGCAGTGCTCAGAGCTACTGTGACCTGAACTTTCTCTTGGGCTCCCGAGTCCTCTGACAGCAGACCTTGGGGGTACAGGCTCACCTCTGTATGGCTGCCATTCCCAGGCCCCAGTCATGTCACATCAGCGTGAGGGGCCAAGTCCAGAATCTCAGTCAGATACACCCCACAGGGCCCAGAGGTGGTGCAATCCCTTTAATGTGATTTTTAATGTGATTATGTGGGGAAATTCTTCTGGAAACTCAGATGACGACTTCATCATCACAGCAAGTACAAACGTGTGTTCTATGTTCTTGCTGGGGACAAACCTCTTTAAAAATAAACTTGAAAGGATTCTTTCATAATGCTATTTAAAAAACAATAAGGGAGATGAAGTTTCCTTTCCTCCCCCAGCCCAGAAGTAGGCATCAGCGTCTGCAGTGTGCTGGGGGACAGTCCAGAGGCTTCCTTTTGCACAGATGCCCAGTCCTCACTCCCAGACCGAGGGAGATGAGTGCGCCACCTGTCCACCAGTGGCCTCACCTGCTCAGACCCTGCTCAGTGAGGGTCCCAGAGCTCACTCAGCTCACGTCTGGAGACAGCGTGCGAGTCCCAAACTCTGCCCAGAGGCAACAACAGACCCCTGTTAAGCCACAGCACACTGTTCTGGTTAGGAAGAAGCCCGGCCCGTCCACCAGTGAAACACCCACACACGCATGCTCCGATATACTTAAGTGAGGTTCCTACAGGTGACCCCTCCCAACGGGCGCAGTCCTGGCTGCAGGCCTGGGGCTCAGCCACACCGTCGCCAGCAGCCACCTCCTCAGGGTGGTCCCTACTGAGTAAGAGGCGCTGTTGAATCTGCCTGTGGATGTCCAGCTGCAGCCTACACATCTGCTCCTGCAGCTCACTGATCACATTCAGAACTGACTGTAAGAAGGAAGAGAAAGGAGAAAAAGCACTCAGGAGCAGTCAGCTCTCAAACACCGAATTCCCTAAGGGAGAAGCACGGAAGGAAGGAAGGAAGGAAGGAAGGAAGGAAGGAAGGAAGGGAGGGAGGGAGGGAGGGAGGGAGGGAGGGAGGGAGGGAGGGAGGGAGGGAATAGAGGGTAAGCAGCAGGGGGCACCCAGTGGGCACTGTTTGTGACTCCCCCTCTCTTTAGAGGAACCAAAAGACATGGCACTTTTCCTGAGGCCTGCCCCATCCCTGGGCCAGCCTTGCGGTTTGAACAAACACCTGGTAGTTCCTTGTGCCATATGGGGTCGGGGGTGAGGGGGTTGCTTGCATGTCAACATGAGGCACAGAGTCTAGCCACAGTAGAGGCAGAAGCACATATAGACACACCCCCATACACACCCCCATGCTTCATACACCAGCTACCTCCAAAACATGCCAGCCCGTGTGTGCAGGTGACACGGGGCCCACGCCATGTTCATGCATGCTAATATGCCTCCAACCCTCAACTCTCCCCCACACACGACACCAAACCCTACTCCTTCATTTCCCACTCCAAACCCGACTCCCCTGTGGCCTCAAGAACACTGTAGCTTTTTATGGCAACTTAAAGAATAACTGCAATCCTTGGAATTCACAACTATTCAATTCTGGATCCTTCACTAACAGTTCTCCTGGGCTTTCCTTTATCTACTCCACAGACATTTAGTGCCACTCTTGTAGTGACCAGTGGCACTCACAGGTGAGTGGGGACAGACACACAAAATAACAATCACAACAGCTAGCTAAGAAAACCACAGGGAACAGTGAGGGACTCTGCCTGGGTCAAGAGGAAGGGGTGGGACGAGTCTCACTGACATGGAGCAGCCACATCCTAGACCCGGTGCTAGGTGAGGGGTGAAGGAGATGAAGCCTCAGGCCTGGGGAGCAGACGATGATGCCGCTTGGGGCGGGAAGGAACCCGGAGGCTGGGGAGGACTGTGAGCAGCCGATGGTCAGGGACGGATTTAAGGACGCGGTTGGCAGTAGAGTGGAACAGAGGTGGGGGAGAGCAGCCAGTCGAACTGTTTGGCCCACTCTCTCTCCACCTTTCCCGACCTCCTCGGCACTCACATCTGGTGTTGCGAGGTCTGCCCACTGGCTCCATGGGCACTCCCCAGGCGAGGGGGGGGGGCAACCCCAACAGTGAGTGTTATGTAAAAGAAGAGCAGCTGCCACTCCACGTCATGTTGTTCTATAGATGCCCCCCACTTTGTAAAGATTTATTTATTTTTAGAGAGAGGGGAGGGAAAAAGAGAGGGAGAGCAACATTGATGTTGAGAAAGAAACATCAATTTGTTGCCTCTCGTACACCCGGCCAGAGACCGAACCCATAACCCAGGCATGTGTCCTGACTGGGACTCAAACCAGCAACCTTTTGCTTTGTGGGATAATGCCCAACCCACTGACCAGGGTCAGGGTTATATATCCCCTTTTCAAATGTAGAAGGAAAACTGAGGGTCTAAAGGACAGCTCAGGGCTGAAAGGGTACTGGGCTAAGGCCCCATGCCAGCCTGCTCTCCTCTCCAGTGATGCCATTTGGACTGAGAGAGCTTATGACATTGCCACAAGCAGCCTCTGGCCTTCCAGTCACTCTCCCCTTGAACAAGCTCTCCTGTTGTAACCCACAGACAGCCCCAGGTTGTCCTCCCTCAGGGTCATCTGTCTTAGAAGCTATTTCCCTATGGGGACCAGAGGGTTGTGGTGAAAAGTCAAGATGACCCTTGTGGTAAAAAGTCAAGGTGACCCTGAGCAAATGCGCAGACCCCAGACCTTTACCTTCCTTTAGTGTTGTTGGCCTCTGACCGCTGATGGACTCTGACTCTTGGGCTGCACTAACCCTGCCCTCTGAGTTCGCAGCTACAGGCCCAGTGCAGACGCTGCGCTCGGACTCGGTCTTTGTTCCATGTGCCTCTGAGTTCTGAACCCCTTGCCTTAGTTCAGATGCCTGAGAAGGGCGGAGGATTCCTGCCTGTCTGTCCTCAGCCACTAAGAGTCAGTCTAGCTCTCTCTCTGCTGCCCTTGGCCATCACTGGAACACACTAAATAGGAAAAAAAAACCCATCTGTATTCAATTTGTTCATGCTTTTTCTTCTGAGAAGTCTCAGCCTTTTGGAGTTTTCATTGTTTGGCTGGTCGGTCCTAGGATGACCTACAAGGGAGGACCAAAAGCTGGAGGGAAGAGTTACCGAGGAAGGAGAGGAACAGGAATCAGCAGCCCCAGGCGGAGGGTTTGGCTAAGCACAGAGGGAAAACAAGTTGGGGGTTCAGATAGGTTTCCAGGTGAAAAACAGGAACTCAAGGGAGATCTTCCCCAATGGCCTTGACCTCTGTAGAGAAGGTGAAAAGGTTGCCTGCTAAAAGGACACGTTGAAGCAACTGGGGATAAGGACTTGGAAGTCACTGTGAGGCATGAGAAAAGGAAAGTCAGGCGTGGGAAAAGCACTACCAAGGAGGGGGCCGACGTGGCTGAGGCTGGAAATCAATGAGCATGGAGGGTTTTTTTTCCTTTCTTTTGTTTTTTAACATCAGTTCCTGTAACCAAAAACCCTGGTGCAGGGGGAAGGATGGCAGGATATCAAAGATGGAGTTGAAAACGATTCCCAAGGTAATGACCAGCCTGCATCTCCCAAAGAAGGAGGCTCAGCCTGTCATGTCCAGCTATGACCAGTGACAACATGACACAGTGAAACATGCACAGGCTTTGAACTTGCACAGACCTAGGTTTCATGCCAGACTGGCACTTTTTTCTGTGTGACTTGGTGAATTATGAAACCTTTCCGAGTTTAGTTTCCAAATTTATAGAACAAGGGTCTCACTACCTCATAGGGCTTTGGGGGGATTAAGTCAAGTGACACTTAGGCAAAGCACCTGGTGCGGCCCCTGGCACTGGGGAAGCAGTGAGAAATGTGAGTTCACTTCCTTCACCGCCTCTCCTCATACCATCAACTGACTTATAAGACTTAAACAAGAGAAACTGGGAAAACATCAGGAAAGACCTAGCGCTCACGGAACACGGTCAAAGCCCGTGTGACATTGGTTCCTGACAACAAAAGCCCAGTGTCCCGCACGTCCTGGCACACACACTCAGTCCTCTGGCCCTGCCTGTCCTCAGCCCTACTCTTCCCCCTTCCATAATTCTCTAGAATTTCACTGTCTTCTCACTAGTTTTGTTCCCTCCACCAATAAACCTGTCAAACGAGGATGCTGCTGTCCCTGATTTTCACCACCTCATTCCCTATGCCCACTCTCTGGGTAGACAGGCTGCCACTACCACCCCTGGGGTACCGCACTCCCTCAGCCCTGTCATCCCGGTCAAATCCAAGGCGTGTCTGTCTGCAAACCGCCTGGCTCCCTCTTATGGTGGTTCATGCCCCACCTGTCCTTCAGCGATTCTGCACTATCGGGTTCTTCTCATCTCCTACTCTTTCTCTGCCAGTCTATCTATCCCTCCAGGTACCTTAGAGGTACCGTGAGAGAAGCCCATTTTCAAAGGGGCTTGGACAGAAGACAGAAAGGACAAAGGAAAGTGCACCTGCACGCACAGCACCGGGAAGGGCGAGCCCCAAACCGAAGGGCAGTGCCGAGGACGACGGAAAGACGTTTGTCAAAGGTTGTGTTCTCAATAAGGCCCAAGAAAGAATGGGCTCGATTCCACGGATGCTTCTGATAGTGGCAAAGGACTTAGGACGGCAGTCCCCAAACTTTCAGGAATCCAGGAATTTGTTTAAAAACTAAAAGTGAACCTCCTCCTTCTCCTGCTTTTCATCCCCCTCTCCCTCTTCCTCCTCCCCCTACATGACAAAGAAAGTTAGATGGGTTTTACAAAATTTAGCGCAGAGTTTGGGGTCAACCCTGTGATGATTTGTGAGAGGCTAGAGGACAAAGTAGAGACCCGTGTCCACTGAGAGTGAGGTACATCAGACTGACCTGGACTGGCCTGGCTGGGAGCGTGTCTTGTAGGGGTAAGCCCGGTCAACCCTTGCTCCAGCGAGGCTTCCAAAACATTGTTTGGAGCCGTCTCATGGATAAGACAGAGGAGCATAGGATGAAAGTGAAAGTAGGTGTATTAGTACCCAAATGACTATAGGTATCTACAGGGTAGGGCAAAAGTAGCTTTGCAATTGTTTGCATGGAAAAATAATACAATTAAGTAATAATAAAACAATAAATTGTGTTTCTTGTACTCACAACTGTAAACCTATTTTTTGCCCTGCCTCATATACTATATTAGTATCTAAAGACACTCTTTAAAAAAAAAGATTGTATTTATTTATTTTTTAGAGGGAGGGGAAGGGAAGAAGAAAGAGAGGGAGAGAAACATTAGTGTTTGGTTGCCTCCTATGTGCCCCCTGTGGGGACCTGGCCCACAACCTGGGCCATGTGCCCTGACTGGGAATTGAACCAGCGACTCTTTGGTTTGCAGGCTGGCACTCAATCCACAGAGCCACAGGAGCCAGGGCTAAAGACACTCTTGAAAGATTTTTCTGTAGAGAGTAATAGTAATGTGCCCTTAGCCCTTCTGCTTGTGTAGCACTTTTAGTCTATAATTTGGATGTTGATACAGAAGTTCTTGATGTTGTGACAATAGGAAGCCAAAGAAACACAAAATGGATCAGTTGACTGGAGTTCTTAAAAATTACTCTATTTTGACAATTCCTGAAAGTTTGCTTATAGCAAGAAGTTTGGGGACTGCTGTCCTAAGTCCTTTGCCACTATCAGAAGCATCCGTGGAATCGAGCCCATTCTTTCTTGGGCCTTATTGAGAACATAACCTTTGACAAACGTCTTTCCGTCGTCCTCGGCACTGCCCTTCGGTTTGGGGCTCGCCCTTCCCGGTGCTGTGCGTGCAGGTGCACTTTCCTTTGTCCTTTCTGTCTTTTGTACAAGCCCCTTTGAAAATGGGCTTCTCTCACAGTACCTCTGAGCTATTTCT